CCAGGCTGCACCTTCAGGCGCTTAACGCAAGAGCGAACTGCTGCAACCACGCCCAGGCCAACACTGGCCACAAGCCCGACACCACGCACATCTTGAACACAACGATGTCGCCAGGGTGACATCGTTGTGTTCAAGAAATGTCTTCGTGCATTGCTTTATTTCATCTACCATACCGACCACCAGCACCAGCACCATGAGCGGAATGCCAACCCAGGCCAGGTGCAGCCCGCCTGTTGAACATGCACAACAGGGAAAACAAAGAAAGCACACATGATGCAACAGGCGTCACACCAAGCTATAGGTGACAGGCGCAGAGGGGCGGGCGACGAACGTGCTGCCGCTGCGGAGGCAGAGGAGCGGCAGGGAGGGTTACCTTTGCCAGGGAGGGTTACCCAGTCCCGTTTCCCAACACCCCACCATCAAAGCCCACGCAAGCTCACCCTGCTGGTCGCGCGGGCGGTCCACGTCTGGCACCGTGACGGTGCTCATGCCTGCGGAGTCGCGTGCAAGGTGTGTGTGAGTATGTATGCAATGAAATCCAGGAAAGCAAGGCTACACGCCCATTGTAGTGGCACAGGTCTGACACCCCACACGCACCCCGCAGTCCCCACCAACAGCCCACCCGCCCAAATACGTGATGGCCCCACTGTGCTGCCAGTTACCAACAAACCGCGTGCCGATTTCCACCCTACAGCCTCGTGGAAATGCTCACCAGCAGCAGCCGGCAGCGAGCCTGCAGGGGGAGGGTAGCACAACGGATTCCTGCTTCAAGGTCGCGAGCAAAGAACCCCAACACGCTTTGAGGATATTCATCGGTCAGACAGGCAACCGGTCGCCATTGGGACCCGCGCAGCTGTGCCCACAGCGGCAGAGGTAAATCCGCGAGATCGCCAGCCCACTTCACCGCGCTCTTCGCAGTAGCTCAATCGCGTACGTACTGATCCGCCGCGGGATGTTAGAGCTGCTGCTTTTGCTCAGGCCAAGCCGCCGATGAGAAATCCCTCACCTCGGGCCTCCGCACGGACGAATCCATAGATGGTCTCATTGTCTTGGCCCTCGATAGGCCACGTAGCGAGTTCCTCATTTGGCAACTTGCGCAGAAAAGACAGCAGCTCGCCTTTGTCAACGCCACGCGCAACTGCATTCACGGCCTCGAAGGCTCGTTTTCTACAGTCCATGACAATGAGTTGTTTGGATGAGGCTCCCTGGAAGGGTAGGAACCTAGTAGGGGAGGCCCACTCAAGTGCACTAGGAGAAACTGAAGGGAAATGTTGCTTTTCCTTGATGGATTTTTTATTCTGGAGTGGAAACTGCAGGAAGTTATGGAGTCGTTTGGGACGTGCTCGCGACTCGGCAACGCTGAATTAGATTGTACGGCGTGACGAGCAACTTCGCGAAAACACAGAGAAGTGCCCGCAAAGTACTACCTGGCCATCGGTTAACATCTCGGTAGCCGTGGGAAGTGAGCTGCGCTGCACTCGCACGTCGCGAGCTTGGAGCTCGCTTGCGCGTCGCGCGCAGAGCCGCCCCTCATGTCTGGACAGCACCTCATGGAATCTGTTAATAGATTACTGCTTTTACGCAAGCCGCGCGTCTGGCGTCGCAATATCCCGGGGGCCGCACTGCGCAACATCTTCGCTCTACCGTCACGCGAGGTCAGTAGGAGGTAACTTCGGTTTCACGTAAGTATACGCGTGGGTTGTCCGTCACAGGGCTCCATCATGCTCGCCGCCGCCGATGTTCGCTGCCATCGCTGGCTTCGTTCCACAATGCTGCTGCTACTGCTGCTGCTGCTGTTGTTTAGCAGCCTCTTCCATCACAGCTGTCTGATCGATGGGGTAGCGCCCAATTCCGTCTGCTGGAACTGGATACGCGTTTAGCTGCGCCTGGGGTTTTGAGCTCTCTTGGCTTGGCTTGATTTGCGTTCGGTCAATTTTTCGGGGCCCTCGTGCTATTCGCCGCTTGTGGCTGCTTTTGACTTGTGGTTTATTTTTGAGCTCCTCGTCCATGAGCTCTATCATCCAGTATCGGGGAATGAAGCGGGTTTAACTAAAACCCTAAGTTTGTTGCAGGGGGTTTAACTGTTCCACAGGTGCTTTTGGTAGATTTAGTTTGTCACGCACAAGTAAGCCAACAACATGGTCGCGCACGGGTGGTTGGCCTTCCGGCGTGTGCGATCCCATTTATATGGCCGTCGTACTAACGGTCATCACAGGCCGGCATCGCCTGCGGTGCTCATAGGTGGCGTTGGCACTTTCTGTTGCGGCCAACTTTAAGTCATTCTAGTAAGCGTAGGGATGGCTGGCTGCTGTACTTCAAAGGGATTATGGTGTGGGTAAACTGCATGTGACCACCATCGTTGAAACTCGTTGAAGCGATGGCGCACGCGAGGAGTTTTCTCAAGTTAAAGAAGAAGCTCTTTTGTTTAATGCCAATCCTGAAACGTGTTCAGTTACAGCCTTAACAGGTGGGCGGGAGCAAAAACCCTAACCTCCGCGCATGCAGATAGTCGCGTTTCCTGCACCTGGGGGTATCTTGTACATACAGATATGATTTTACCTGAGTGGTACCAAAGTACCAGCCGATAATCCTTTGCCTACGTTATCCGCTTTGTTCCGAATCACCCCAAATTCTTCAACGCACAATTCCATCGGATTTCCGTTTACTACCTGAGCACTCTTAACTGATTACTATTGGATATTATCAGTCCCACTGCATCCATCTGTTATCACTGCACATTGTAACCCAGGCCTGCCCTTTCGTGGGAGGTGCAATCGCAATGCTCCTTTGTTCCTGCGCCACCACTGGCCCTTGTGACTCTTTCCAGATAGCCTAAGGCTTCAGAAGGAGTTTTTTCTGTCGTTGACCAGTGCAGCCCTTGGAATCCAAAAGTTCTGAACCAATTTGTGCGGCTACCGAGTGCTTGCCAGATGAAATTCTTGGATTTGCCCCCTCTCCAACGGTAATTACCGATTGCTTCTATTTGCGGAAACGGCGAAAGCATGGGTCAGCTTCTGGACATATCCCTTCAATTGCCGCAGCCTGAACGCCTTTCTCAAAAACGTTGACGTTGGAGATCACATCTTGCAAGGCGACCTTGAAGCATATTCCTGTGAGTAGCATATGGGTAAGCGCCTGCAACTGGGCCGGCCCTGACGCTGCGCTCGGACGCCTTTCTGGTCCGCAGGCAAGCTTGCGGGCCTGGACAAGAAGCTCTCAAAAAGCCTTGACCAGGAGGTCCAAACGGGCAGCTCCCCGCTGGAGCTGTCTGCATCCCCCGTCGGGCCACTTGCCGAGTCGTCAAGGTCAGTCTGCACGCAGGCTCCCGGTATCCAACGCGCCGTACAACAGCATCCCCGTTCTCAAGCTCAGGGCTTCGACAAAATTCAGATTCCGTTTGCGCCCCTCACATCGGCATCCTAGCGCCAATATTCTTTTGATATCCATATATTTCCTTCCTATGAAAACGACACCAGGCCAACTACACAGGGCTCCACAACATCCGCCATCCATCTCCCCCTCTCCCCACCGCACCACAAACTCAAAATCCCCCTAATGTATTTCCCCCCCTCCGTGCTCATCCTTGCTGCCGCAGCCGCAAGACGCTCATCTACCTCATCCTCACGTTGAACCACATTTACCCGGATTACGACTTCAGCCAGCTGCGGGCCCACCACTTCCAGAAGGAACAGGGCATCAGCAAGGCGGAGGAGGCCATTGACAGCCACCTCCTGGAGGTCTCCAAGGTGCCCGTCCTGCCCGTGTGTGTGTATGTGTGTGAGGGGAAAGAGGGGGAAAGGGAGGGGGAGAGTCAGGGGAACGTGTGTTTGGATGGAACGAGCCGCGGCCAGGCACGGACGAAGACGGTGCAGAAGTAGGTTCCTTTGCAGTGGGAGCGTGTGTGTATGGGCTTGGACAGCGGCCCGGGGGTAATCACGGGGGTTACTCCCACTCACTCGCTCAACGTCTAAGGGTCAACATTCCGTTAAAACCCCATCGCCATCTTCATTATGCCGCGCGTATTATTGTGCGTATGTACGTGTGTATGTATGTATGTGCGCCGCCTTCCCCCCCTTCCCGCAGGTGTGGGCCAAGACTCCGGGGCGGGGTGAGAGCCCCTTCCTGGAGTGCCTATGGAGCTCAATAGATGAGGTACGACGAACGTACGGGATAGGGAGGATTGTACCGGGCCGTCTGTACGCGCATGTATACAGTGGGGCCGTACATTACACATCTTTATCACCTCTCCATGGGGGGGAGGTGGACTTCGGCCTCGTTCCTCCCCCGGGGGGTTGGTTCATCCGCTAATCTGATGGCTGGTGGTTGCTGATGCTGATGGGGGTGGTGTTGGTGGGGGTGGTGTTTGACGGGAAGCCCTTCCCGACGTGGCCGCCCCCTCCGCTTTTCCCCTCTGTCTGTCCCCTCCGTTGCAAGTTTGGGGCTCGGCAGCTGATTTCCCCTTTGGATTTGCCGCCCACCCACCCCCTGTGTATTTCCCCCTCCCTTTTCCCCGGGCAGGCGATAGATCTAAAGGAGAGTGACGTGTACTGCTACAAGTCCGATTTGGAGACGGATCCCTTTGGTGGGTGGGCGGGCGGGCGGAGGGGGGCGGGCTGGAGGGGAAGGGGGAAGGGAGTGCGTTTGTGTGTTTTGCGGCGGGGGGGGAGGTGAAGGATTGGAGACCAGGAATCACGCTACAGCGAAAAGAGATGACTTGGGTTAATAATGGCGTTTAAGGTTCCGCCACCGGCAGCGTCACCACCACACGACAACCACCACAACCACTGCAACCACCACAACCTCTTTTGTTCAGCTGGCGGGTGTCCCCCTGGCCTGCCCTGCTTTGAGGTTAGTGGTCCTG